TTGAATTTTCTTGTGTTCCTTCAAATTTTTTTTTGTTTGAAGTCATATTCTACGCTTTAATAATTTATTACTCAGAGTCATATCCCTTCCATTTCTACTTTTTCCTCTGGGCACAGAAGAAATAGTAAAATGATGATTTGGGACACTAGAGCAAAACGTCATACATTAGGATATGTGACATACTATACTGTAAAACTTTCCAAATGACAGGATACCAATATCAATTGGTATGGTCATAGTAGATAGGGAGGCATACAGTTGATATTAAATAAATTTTGCTAGAAAATCTATGGAAAAGCAGAATCATATTTGAAATTGAAATTCAACTCCATAGTGACCTAAGCCATGCACCATACAACTAATGGATTTTCATGCTGTAGTCTAGATATTGAAGGGGACAAAAATTGATGTAACTATGATATTGATCTTTTCACTCATGACAGACACAAGCTTGTTACTGCAAATGGTAATTTGAGTTTTTTGTCACCAAATGAAAATGTTCCATAATGCTAAAATTTCAGTACAATCGAGAAGCAAGGGACCCAATACAAAGAACAAATCTCCACTATTTTATAAAGAAATAAATTCTGGGTAAACGTTTCTTGATTTATTATGAGTACTATAATACAGAGAGTTCAAAACTCTCTCAAGCCATATAATGATACTAAAACACAGTACTCTCTTTGAAGTCTGGGAGACTAGAAAACTTGGATTTACATGAAAAGACATTTTATGGCCCATCCCTACTGTCAGCATTACATAAATTGATTTTTTAAAAGGCAAACTGTGGCCGGGCACAGAGGCACAGGCCTGTAATCCTGGAAGCTTAGGAAGCTGAGTCAGGAGGACGCGAGTTCAAAGCCAGCCTCAGTAAAAGCGAAGTGCTAAGCAACTCAGAGAGACTCTGTCTCTAAATAAAATACAAAATAGGCTCAGTGGTCAAATGCCCCTGAGTTCAATCCCCAGTACCTGTGCCCCCTCCAAAAAATTTAGAAAGCTCTGTGCTGTCAAAAATAAGTAAAACGGAACAAAACAAGCACACAAAATTACAAAACAAAACAATTTAGGAAGGTTTAGCATTTGCACCAGAATCAGATTCAAGATGTAATTTCAGTCCTGATGAAAACCAAAGTACCACCTGAAGCAAGGGATTGAATTGAATTAACAGAAGTTTTCCAAAATGGTTGCCTTTAATTTTATTTAACAAAGGAATGAAGGAAAGAAAGGAGGGTTCGGAAGAAAGGAAGGGAAAGAGGGGAGGGAAAATACTGCAGCTCAATTTACCAGCATATTTGATTGTAAACCAGAGCATGGTCATTAGGTTACCAAAACTAGACAAATTAAAAAAAAAAAAGGAAATCAGAAACATACCAAAATAAATAAATAAATAAAACATAACAACAGTTTTCAATGAGAGCAACAAAAACAAAACTGCCCAAGACAGCAGCACATAACAGAGGAAAGTGTTAAAGTACATGATTTTTTAGAAGTGTGATGAACAGTTATAAATGATTGATTTGAAATTTTTATTGTTTCCATTAAAACATGTGAATCAGGAATGATCTTTGGCTTGACCACCATGGGAAAGATTTTAATAATGTGTTACATTTAAACAATTTCATGTTAAAATGATATTGTAAAGTTCTATGGTTGCATGTAAATTACTGTCCATCTAATTTCAGTGGGTATAGGGTTTGCAAGGGATAAAATAAGAACTGTATTGTCTGTGCCCCAAACAGTGAATTTACAATTAAGGAAATGGATAAGAAACAGCTCAGCACAATACAGGGGAAAGAGCCACAAATATTAAAACTTTGTTAGTATCATTGCCATTTTCTAAAAACTGATAATAAAACAGTATGGGAATTAAATACTTTAATGTGTTCCACTCATACAAACTACATAAAATTCATTCATTTAAATTTCATCTAAATTGTATGATTCAGAGCCATTTGTATAGCATGAAATACAGCTAGTAAAAAAGTCATTAATTCCAAGCAAAACAAGTAAAGAAATGCATGGGATGCAGAAATGCATAATTTCCAGGTATACAGAGTATGACCAAAGAGAGAAATACCTTACACAACTAGGAAAAAAAAATCCACATTACTTAATAGAGCAGGGAACCAATTAAGAACAGTCCCCTATCCGGTTTAATTAGGCTAACTACAGGTAAGGGAATCCTGTGGTACAGGGAGGAGCATTAGGTGTTGAATTCTCACTGTATCTCTTTCATCTATGACCCCTCCACTGTAACAACGTTGAAGATATGTAGTGCTTGACTTTCACCTAGGATTGCCCTTTTAATGTGGAATTTAAATGAATTAAACATTTCCACATTACTAGAAAGTAAACTCGAGGAGTACCCCAGTGCTGGAAAGGAAGTAACAAATAACTTGTTCTCTTATTTTTCCAGATTATCACTATATTATAGCACATTGATGTTTAATTTCAGCTTTAGCAAATGGATATCTTGCAAAAATCTGTGTGCTCTCTGTGTTGATGAGAAATGGTGTTCTACACATTAATCATGCAGTGTTGAGAACAGAGCTTTAAAATGCTGCTGAAAGATGAAATCAGAAGGTGGAAAGAATAACTATTTTTCTTTTCTATGGGGTTTAGGTGCAACTCTGTCTTATTCCTAATTCAATCTACTTTCAAGTTTCCAAAAAGACAAGCTTGATAAAAACTGAATTTCACTATTTTTCTCCCCTCTCACATATTGATTTCAGTAATTAAGCAATAACAAAAATCCACAAGGGGGCAGGAAACTAAAAAATAAAAGTTTTCTAGTTTGAGTAAAACATGCACAAAATACACACATATATATAATACACATATTTATATATATTCATGAATGCGATCATACAGGAACTAACAGAAAATCCAGCTCAACTTGTTTTGATGAAGGTGGAATTTTACTTGAAGTAAGAAGAAAGACTACTATAAAGCAAATTTAGGAAAACTTAAGATTTGGGAAGAATGTTCTCTTTAGTAGTTTAGTTTACATTAAAATTCTTTAGGTTTATTTCTATGTTTTCAAATAAATGATTTGTCCATATTTAATGTAACATTTTTAAAAAATACTTTGCTTTATAGATCTCTGAGTGGAGTGTTGAAGTTACCAAGAATTCAGGGACAGAAAAACAGGACACTGTAAGAATTAAGGAGATTTTGTTCCAGGAAAGAACTATAAAAAGAACATAAAAGATGAAAAACATTTCTCAAGCCATGTTCTCTCTGATATTCTGCTCCTCAAGCAAGATTTCATTATTTTTATTTTTTATTTATTTTTTTTGGTATGTACACAGAACAGGAATAATAAACAATGTATCGAGACTATTGGAGGAGAAAATTATTACAAATTAATGTTAAAATTCCAAATCATGATATATGTGTATATGTAATTTTGTGTATCTTCTTAAAATATATTTATAACCAATTCTTTACCCCTAGCTGTATGCCTATTTCCTATCTACCTAGTCCCTTTAAGCTTCTCTTCAGTTTTTGTGACTATGCAGTGAGGAATATTATCAGGATACTAACAAAGACAGAAAAGGAACATACCTTAACATCAGGGTTACATAACAAAGCAGAGGAGGGCAGAAAGCATCATAACTTCTCCTCGGCTTTGGTATGTTTGTTTTTATTTGGGTATATCAATGAATATTCTATTGAGTGTTTTTTTTTTCTTTTAGCCACACCACTTCAGTGAGCCTTACTCTCCACAGCATTTCATTGGTTAAATAATTTCTTTCACTGATTTTAGAATGAAAAACACATTTAGGATTAGATTTTCTGATTCCTGCCTAAATATAAATGCACAATTTGAACATCAAAGCAATAGGGATTATGATTTTATTATCTCTCAAGTATTCTCTGATCACTGTGTCTGAAATGACTTTGTATCTGATAGTACAACAATGAATGACATTCATGACTAGAAATTAAATATAACAATACAGTTACGACTTATGTAAGTATATTTCAAAGACATTCATTTAGAGAAAATTTAGCTTTTCACATTTTCCATAAGAAGCACAATATAGTTCAAAAAATGTTTATTAAGCACTGACTCTAGGCACTTAAAATATACTAGGCATTTTGGAAGAGTACAAAAAAAATTAGAACATATTTAATATTCCCAAGAAGAACCTGAAATTTTGCAGATGGTTACTGAGTAACTCAGGGAAAACTTAGAATGGGGATTTGTGTGATTTGACAAAAACATTGTCAGGTGTCTAGGTTTGTCTATAATGAATACTAAGAGATAAATCTGAGATATAATTGAGAGCAGAAGCAATTGTTCAATTAGCTCACCTAATTCAAATGTCAAAAGATCCACAGTGGTAAACTCTACTTACCTCTTTTTAAGTTCTTATAGGTAAGAATTATCAGCAGCATGGGCTGGAAATTGAGCATTTATAATGGAGGAAAACAGTGATCTGTAGTACAACACAAATTAAATATTATAGAAACAACAATAAGCAGATTTTCTTACAATATGGTAACAGTTGATAGCAAAAATATTTAATAGTAGAGTGGAAAATTTGGAAGGGCAGTTGTGCATCCAAAACACATAAAACCAAAGATAAAAATGTATTTATTGAAGAAAAAAAAAAAGGAAGGAAAACATATCAGTAGGGAAGTCTAGAGACCTACTGCAGATTCTAACGCAGGGAACCATCACAAACCTATCATTATCTACATTGAGTCAAAATAATAGGCCTTTTAAATTTTAATAAAAAAGATTCTGAGGCAAATCAACAGCGTTCAACGTTTAAGGAGTGTGGTGAATCAGGTTGTGTTCCTTCTGAAAAGGCTTTCTGACGCAGTTGTTTATTCAGCAAAACAAAATTGTTTCCTGCGTCTGTTAACAAGCCCAGCTTTGTGCTGCACAGACTTCTGCGGGGCTGACTCCTGTTTGGAACCGTTTCACACTAATTAGAAATAAGAGAAAAGGCAGCGTTCATAAGCACCACAGCTCCCGGCCCCTTTGAACAGCTCTCTCCCAAAATTAACTCGGTTGTAACCCTGCGTGAGTAATAGCTTTGCGGCAACAGTTTAGAGAAATACATTGTTAATAATTGTCATCTCGCTGAGCAAAATGCTGGGACAAATTTTACATAACAGTGCAAGAAGCCATAAAAAAAGGCCAGTCTGGGAAGCTCTGAAAGTTTGCTGTTCAGTCTTGTTTCTAAGAGCCCTCTCATAATGATGTTGAAGAACATCACAAACAGGTAAGACGGAGGAGCAATAAAAAGTGATTGTTTGATTTGTAAAATTACATTTAAGATAATTGCTTACACTGATACCAATCTCAGAAGTAATTATAAAAAAAAGTTTCTCTTTTAGATAACACATATGAATGAAAATAGACATTTTAATTTGATGCAAATGAATCACTAAAATAGGTTATATTGATAGTTATTAAGTGATAGAAATTTTTACAAATTTCTGGAGTAAATTATACCTTAAAATGTACATATGTTTGTGCATACCACAGAGATAAAAAGAAAAGGGGACAAGGAGGAAAATTATTTTTTTTGAGAGAAATGTAGCCATTTAATCTAGGGCTTGACCTACCATCAAGAAATTATCAAAGTAAAAACCAAATGGATTTAAAGAGAGATGTCATTCTTTGAAACAATTTATTCCACAGGCATATTGGTTTTCTTTATGATAGCGGGTTTCTAAATACAGTTTTCTGACTATACATATATTCTCATGCCGTAACATCCCCTGTCAAAAAATAAAGATCTATAAAAGAAGTGAAAATTGACACCAAATTATGCATCTAAAAATATTTCACAATGAATCCCACTTTTATGTAATAAGCATAATCCACCAACTAACAAAATAAATAAGTGGAAGGAAGACCAATAGGGTAGAGGAAGGAGACCAGGGTAAGGAGGAGAGGAAAAAGGGAAGTATTGGGGAATGAAATGAACCAAGTTATTTTATATGTATAAGTATATCACAATGCACCCCACTGATGTGTATAATTATATTAGAAAATTTTTTAAAAGAAATGGAAATTGACAATATGATAAGACCCCTGCATGTCAACTTCAAATTAAAAGTCTTATTTGCTATGTGTTTATCATCTAATCCAAGGCACGGTAGAGGGAGAAATTAGGCTCTGATTGCTAAGTTAGCAATCAAATTGAGAGCAAAACTATAGATAGATTGTTCGCCAAAGAATCCTTCAACCACTTAATCAAATAACTTTTTTATGGCAATCAGTTTCCAGTTTGGGGGGTATACAAAGAAGAATCAGACATTCCTTATCCTCAGGGAACTGACACTGTTTAAAAAAGGAAAAGAAAATGTGCAATGACTAAATTGTACAATGTGTTTTGGGCACATAAAGGATCTCAGTTCTTCTAGAAGTGGAGGAAAGGCAGAAACCTGTTAGGGAAAAGGTAAAACTTAAGATGAGTATTAAAATATAATGAAAAAGTAATTCATCACCAAACAATCACACCTAAGTCAATACTTCAAAGAGAAGCCTTTACTTCCACGATTATTGCAGCACTATTCAGAAACAAATATATACAATCCAACAAAATATCCATAAACCAATAAATGGATAAAGAAAATGTGGTAAGTTAGCAATGGAATATTATTCAACCACAAACAAGAATGAAATCCTGTCATTTGTAGCAATGGGATGGAGCTAGAGGACATATGTTAAGCAAAATAAGCCAGGCACAGAAAGATAAATTCTGCAAGCATATTCATATGTGGAAGCTAGAAAATTGATCTTGTGGAAGAAAAGAGTGGAATAGTGGTTATACTAGAGGACAGAAAGAAAAGGGAACAGTAGGGGGGAAGGGAGATGGGATAATTGGTAGCAAAATACAATCAGGTAAGATTAATACTTTCTCATGTTCCATAGCACAACTGGGTGACCATAGTTTACAACAATGTATTTATACATTGCATAAAAATCTAGAAAGATTCTGAAGTTTCTCAACACGTAGAAATGATAAATGTCTGAAGAGATGAAAATGATAATCATGTTGATTTTATCATTACACGTTGTACATGTGTATCAAATTATCCTACTACGCACCATAAATACATTTAAATAAAAATAAAAATTGAAAGTTTATTTCATAAATGGACATATTGCCTAAATAATACGACAAAAGGATGATATGAAGAGCATTCTAAGGAAACTATAGACAAAAGAATCCCTTGACAATGAAGGATTATATTATTCTTCTACATTATATTTCATTCCATATTAATTGGCAGATTTCCAAATTCAGTTCAATTCAGGAGATAGGTGTTGATGACATATGCAATGTTCCATACTATAGGAAAGGGGTCTAGAAATGGACCATGAGAAACTTGCAATTAAATGACAGATAAATACCAAAAGGCATGAGAAACAGAAAAAGATTAAAAAGACTTCAGAGATACAAAGGATGAAAAAAATTATTTTGTCTAGCAATCAGCATGTTATTAAGAAAACGCCATATGGGGATAGTTTAGACATATGCTTCCGGGCATAGAAAGACACCATAGCTAGGTCAGTAATGAGGAAGGAGAAAGTGTGAGTTATTAAAGTAACCTGGCAGGAAAGGGGGAGATGCATGAAAACAGTAGCATTGATTTATTTTACTTGGGTTGAAGTAGTAGCATTGGCTTTTCATGTGTGTTTGTGTTTCCTGAAATCCTCCTGGTGATCCTAATGGGTAACCAAGATAGAGAACAAATTTACTATAATTTTTATAAGCTCAATTCTAAAAAAATTAAGGGACAACCTATTTCTTTAAAATGATATATATATAAATATTTTAATTAGATGCATTTAAAACGAATTTGTTGAATGTAAATGCACTGAAAATTTACAAACATCATTACTCCTTTGTACGAATCTTGCAAGATAAAAAAAAAGGATTTTTTTAAATAATATTTTTAGTGTTGACAGACCTTTATTTTATTCATTTATTTATATGTGGTGCCAAGAATTGAACCCACATATGTGAGGCAAGCACTCTACCACTGAGCCACAACCCTCGCCCTCTGTACATAGGATATTAATATAGCAAAAGCATTCTTTTTCAGAAGATAGTCTCTTAATTTCTGTTTCTGTGAAATTAATATTTCAAATAATGTATTTACATTAAACACTCTCTAGAACATAACAGTATTCACAGCAATTTTTACAAACTTTTTAAAAGAAGTTTGTTTTCTATTTCCATATTTCACTCTAATTTTCATCTGAAATTGCAATAATTCTGGAAAATTACTTGAATTGATGGATTTTAACCCAATTAAATACTCCTGTTATGAAGCAAGGCACTGTGCCAAATTAAGAGAGAGTGCTCCAATTCTAAAATTTTTGGTACTGAGATTTTCCATCAATTTTTTAGATGTACAGTGAAGCAACCAAGTTAAAGTCATAACAGGTTCATTAACAGAGATTTGCAAATTTAAGGCAAAGAAACCCTTATCTTAACCTTAAACCTTTGCAGCCCATTGCATACTTATAAAACTAGGTCAGAGCTCTTTAAAAGAATCTTATAGGTTTTCCTGCCATTTTAACAAGTCCATAATAAATCCCATTCTTATATTAACAAAAAAGGAAAGTATAGAAAATGCTGGAAGGCAGGTCAGTACATTTTAACACAATAAACTGTCAAAAGTGTCTTGCAGACTTAGTACCAGGTTATTGAAAGGAAGGTCTACATTAGTTAGTATCCAAAAAGTTAAGATCATTCTTCATTCTTAGATGTTTGCTGAAGAAGACAGAGTTGTCTGGAAGCTTGTGTGCAAACTCTGGAGACAGATTGACTGGGAGCAAATCTACTGTGTTCTTAATTTGTGAGGTCTTGGGCAAGGTATTTAGCAACAGAGTCTTAGTTACTTCACCTATACGTTGGGATCCATAAAAGCAGTAACTTCACATGGAGTAGTTGTGTGAAAGATAGTACATATGTTTCAGCACAAGCAAATAATATATACTAGCTGTTACCTAATAATCCAGCAGAAAAATAAATTGTTTTAGTTGTTTGTTTGTTTTTGGCAGGGTGGGGGGCAGTATCAGGGATTGAATTCAGGGGCACTCAACCACTGAGCCACATCCCCAGCCCTACTTTGTATTTTATTTAGAGACAGGGTCTCACTGAGTTGCTTAACACCTTGCTTTTGCTGAAACTGGCTTTGAACTTGTGATCCTCCTGCCTCAGCCTTCCAAGATGCTGGGATTACAGGCTTATGTGACTTGGCTCAGCACAAATAAGTTTTTGTGTTAGCTGGTTTTAGGCAAAATTTCTTAATATATGGATTGTAATATTCAAAATAAAGTAACCTTACTTTAAAAATCCATCAGTAGAAAATAGTTTATCTCATTCTCAAGAATAACATTGCATTTTGACTTTAAAATACAATAATAATTATCATGAACATAATATGGAAAAAATATTTTGAAAAATTTTTTATTGATTTTATTTTTTCAATACACAACAGCAGAATGCATTACAATTCTTATTACACATATAGAGCACAATTTTTCATATCTTTGTATATAAGTATGTTCACACCAATTCATGTCTTTATGCATGTACTTTGTTGGGGTTTTTTTGCATTACAATTCTTATTACACATATATAACACAAGTTTTCATACCTTTGTTTGTGTATAAAGTAGGTTGACACCCAATTCGTGTCTTCATACATGTACTTTAGATAATAATGTTCATCACATTTCCACCATCCTTGCTAATCCCCTGCCTTCTCCCTTTCCCTCCCTCCCCTCTTCCCTATCTAGAATTCATCTATTTCTC